TTCATAATATATAGAAAAAGTATACCTCTAAAAAAGAAAAATGCAAAGTGACAGGAAAAGATCAGAAATGAGACGAGAAAAAGGGAGTCTTTTCTTCTTGCACTCATGGTGCGTTATGGAGACAGTTTGCTCATGAGTTGTCACCTTCAGCCTAGAAAGGTCAGTGGGGAATCTCAAGATCTAAGATTGGCTCCTCACCAGCAGAAGATCATACCTAAAAGGAAACTGAGGCAGAACAGGCTCAACATTTTCCTCTAGAGTGTAAGAGAAGGATGAGGCCAGACAGTCCCAGTGAAACATGTTCTCCACATCATAAGAACTGTTGATGGTCTATAGCCTTTTAACTGGCAGTTGAAGTGCCATGATTTATTAATAGGCATTGTTGTAGTCAGGATTTACAAGGACTTAATAGAGGACACATAATTCATAGAATTATTTTATAATAATCACCCAAAGAGTCAGATGTGAAGAAATACAGGAGATCTGTCCACATACTAGAGACCTGAAGAATCCAGCTGAGGGCCTAGATCCCATGGCCATGTCCTGCATGAGTCCAGCTGAAGGCCTAGAGCCCATGGCAATGCCCCCAACAAATCCAGGAGCCCATGACTATGCAAGTCTGTACCAAGGATCTGTACTGGGAAGGCCTCAAGGTCAGTGGTGGAAGCTAGAAGGACTGCACCAGTGAGATGAAGGATCTGTGCCAGCAGGCTGAGGAATCTGTACTGGAGCCAGGAAGCAATGCTCAGAGTAAGGACTAGCGCTCCCCTAAAGTGAACCACGGCCATCCTCAGTGACAGCGAGGTCCTTCACTCCTCTGATGCTGAGAACATCTAAGTTCATATCAGGAAAGCTAGCATGACAAGCTCTCCAGGAGAATCAACAGCACCACCTCTTGCTCTCCAGTTCTCTTTTTATGTTGTTGGCAACAATCCTCAGGTGGGTCTTCCATACCCAGCACCATGCTGATTCAGTTTAGCTGGGTGTTACAAATTGACTACCAGTTGTCAGTCCACCACAGGCATGTATATTTCCTAAGTATAAACTAGATTTTATAAAAAGACCCATTTTTTAGCATTTTATAATTTACATTACTTTTCCCTAGTGCTGTTGTCTAAGATAAGACAACAAATCTCAACAGTCAAAACAAGTCAAACAGGTTAAGCAAACATTTCCTTCTAATTATCTCAGTGGGACCTCCGAATGATATAGGGGAAATAAATGTAACTCTCAACCTGCCAGATGTCAGATACTCCAAGTTTGTGTTCCCCAAAATCAAAGAATGAATTCTAAGGAAAAACAGGTTAAGAGTAGGAAAACTTTATTGAGAGAGAGAGCTCCTGACAGAAAGGGGGTGGGACAACCCAAAAGAGACTTGACAACAAGCTCACTTCTCTTAGGAAATTTTATAGAGCAAACTCACAAGGTACAGTGTAGTCAAATGTAGGTACAATGTGAGTCAAAACTGTGATCAACCAATAAGATTAGAAGTGTAGCTGCGTAGGTAATATTGATCTAATGGGGAAGCAGGTCATATAGCAAGTGAACATGGAAAGAACAAAGACTTTTTTAGGAAAGAATGGATCAGAGGGTCTTGGTTACCTACCAAGGTGACTGATGTCTATTTAGACTTTATTAGACCAAGTAATATCATTTTTCTTACCCCTGGGGAGGTACATAGGCCTGATCATTCCATCTTGAGGCCTGGTCTCTTAACGGATGTGCCTCTGGCCACAGTTGTAGTGTGTTTTCATTCTCCACATTGACTCCCCCAAGGCCTAGCCCTGTCTGACTGCCTATAATATTTCTACCTAACTTAGCTGTCCATAATAATAGTGATGCTTTGTTCATTCTCAGCATATCACACCTGGAAGCATATAATGTTATTTTGTTCATTACTGTGATGTGCTTGTCATAGTAGCCATTTCTTTTGGCAATCTTGGTGTTTTTGGTGAAGAATGGTGATTAGAAATCAATATCTAGATGCTATATGTTCTCATTATTGCTGGAGATACTTGTATGTTACTGCTTCAGAGCCTTCAATATGTGTATTATGGTGTACCTTTGTGTGTGTGTGTGTGTGTGTGTGTGTGTGTGTGTGTGTGTGGCTCAGGCTGGTCTTGTATGCCTGGGCTCAAGTGATCTTCCTGCTTCATCCTCCCTAGTAGCTAGGATGATAGGCTTGTGCTAGTGTGTGGGAGGCTGAGGCAGGAGGATCACAAGTTAGAGATGAGAACTTTAAGTTTAAAGGGGCTGGGATTATATTTCAGTGGTAGAGCACTTGCCAACATTTATAAGGTCCTGGGTTCAAAAGAAGAAGAGGAAAGAAGAGAAGGGAGAAGGGGAGGATCAAGACAACAAAAACCAAAGCAATGCAGTTTCAGCTGTGTATTCAACAACAACAAAAAATACCCGCATTACCACCAAATAAAGTTTGTCTCAAGATATAAAAAGTTCAATTTCTAGTGTCTGCTGAAGTAATATTCCATGTTAAGAGAATGAAAAACCAAGTCTCCATAGAGATTATAGTTAGTTAATAGTCCTACCAGTTATACAGTGCAATACCTATTATTCACATTCTTGCCAATGTTTGATGATTTTACATTTTTAAATTTTGGCACATTTGACCGGTAAGTAATGAAAACTCCTGTAAAGTTAATGTGCATTTCTGTGATTTCTTGTAATGTGAGCAACATTGTTTGTTTGCTAGCAGTTTACGTTCAGTTACAATGTAAGTTTTAAATGCAGTATCAAGCGTCATTTGTTTACTTGAAGACAAGCAAACAAGACTGTAAAACTTCTGAAGAAATTCATAATGTAAGGAACTCATTTTTGAATGTCTGAAAGTAAAATAGTTTTACCATGTCAAAGAACAAGAGTTAAAAGAAAGAATTTTTATTGTACAAGTTTCTAGGGGGAAGAATAGACAGGGTTATTATTTTTGTTACTAATATATGCTCTCACAAAGTTATACAGCTGGCAAACTGTTTAATCCTAATTACAAATGATTTTATAATACTCATTTGGTTATGTTTTTGGGGTATGTGCAGCCATGTAAAAGGATGATATGAAGTATATCAAATAATAATATAAATTAAATTTTAGTTACTGTGGTTAAAATAATAGTTTCTTTGCTGTTTTGCAATGGTGCTTCAGAGAATTGAAATATCTAGATTTCTGACCTTACAGATTAAATGGGATGTTACTCAGATGAAGGTATATCAACAATTAAACTTTAAGAACTGAACTGGATTGCAAATAACTAGGGTCAGAAAGTCATGTTTTTGATGGTGGTATAGAATCTGGGGAATGGAGGGACAGTATTTCCATATTACTGTACTATTTCTTGTGGGTTTTCATGTATCTTACCCACTTTTTTTTCATAAACTTTTCTTAAACCAGTGTAATTTGTTTCCTCCTGGGACTCTATTACACAGTAGCCACATTCTACTGTGTTTTTTGCATTCATTTGATTTATACCTATGATGCTTTGGTCATTTTATTAAAAATGCTCAGTTCCTGACTACTTCATATACTCCTTTTTCACAGTGTGAGATCTTTCTTACCCTCAAACTTGATCTCTTTGATTAGTGTATGAATTGTAGATAGAGATCCAGTCTCTTTCCTTTCCTTACAGTCTAAAACAAAAATCCAGAACTCTGTAGTGGACTGGGCTAAAGAATGTAGAACACCTGTTTTCTAAGTTATTTAGGGCTAAATATATTCAGACCAAAACAAACTTAAGGCCTGCTGTGTATTTCACTCTCCTAATGCTTAGGTGTATGTCACACTCTGGCTTCATGGAAGGAAGAAAAGAGAGCTTTCCTCACATGTAGTAACCTTTGAATTATATCAGCTCCTTTTTGTTCAGAATATAGAAGGACATGAGTAGAGGAAAGTTTCAAACTTCTCTTATAGGCAGTGTTGACTTATTCATTAAAATATCAATTTTTAAATATATTAATTGGATTGCAACTGAGTTCCTTGCCTGACATTTAAGGCCTTTTTGATCTCTTTTTTTTTCTTGAAATTTTATAACAGTGGAGTATCATGATCTTATAACTGTACATATTTCAGTGACTACTTCCTAAGAATAAAAACATCTTAGATATCTCCACAGTACAATTACCATTTTAATATTGAACTTTAACCAGTGTCTCCATAATATCCTTCACAGCAGTTTCACACCAAATTCTTTTTTGCTTCTCTCCATTTGCTTATGTTACTGCCTGTGCCCAGAATGTCTATAGTGTCAAACCCAGACAGCAGAGCAAAATTGTACTCAGTTCTCAAGGTAGTATTCATTTGTTAATCTTCTTTCTAAGGAGTTAGTTTCTGTTTGGTCCTGAAGCACTTTATATTACCTCTGTTAGAAATCTTGTCAAATTATTAGATTGTGTGGGTGCTCATACCTACTGGTTTATCTTTAAGACAGAGATTATTGAAGGGAGGTACTGTATTGTAATCATCTTTCTGGTTTTTAAACTCAGTAATTGTCATCATGCTTTGTATAGTGCAGACTCTTACATAGGTCTCTTAATAGATAAGTAAATAAATTTACGGAATGAGCTTGAAAGAAATATTAATTTACTGGGCAGAAAATGTTGAAAGTCTCTCTGGTGCCATGAAATATGCTTTCTAACTTTTTGGACTTTTGTGGTCTAGTTTGATAGAATACATAGAATTTTTAATATGAGAGTAAACTGGTATCATTTCTACATACAGTACTTGCTGCTTTGCATTATTTTTACTTTATTTGGTGTTTGAAAATGTTTCTCACTAAAAATGTAATTCATTCATGAGAAATAAGAGAACTGTATTGTTTTTAGGGAAATTAAGTCAGTTTATTCTCATGCAGTTTGATGAGATTTTAGAATACTTTGACTTAGTTCTTAATAAAAATTCAAATTAGAATTAAGAATAATGTTCCATATCTGTTGCATATCTGACTAATATCACATTTCATTAAGAAAGTAATTGATGTTGCTCTTCTGTTTCAGCTAAACCATTTACTTCGAAAGTGAAACAAATGCGATTACATAGAGAAGACTTTGAAATATTAAAGGTGATTGGTCGAGGTGCATTTGGGGAGGTAAGAGATTAAGATTTTATGGATGTTTACTAACTGTTTTGTAAGGTGTTTAACATATCATAGTTGTGAGAGAATTTAACAAAAGTATTTATTTGTGGTTTTAATTGATATGGTTGATCAGAAAATATCCTAGTTTTGTATGAAATCCTATCTGTATGGCACTGTTTTCTAAAATGTTCATATTTTAATGTGTACTTCAAATGCTAATATAAATATAAGTAATTTTCAGGACTTTCTTTTGTTCCTTCTGTCTGTGTGCCAACTATCTTAAATTACTCTAGTTGATAAGAAATCTTGATGTCTTGTAGTGTATAAACTGTGACTCCAGTCCACGCCTGACTTCTCCCATCACATTTTAGAATCAGTTTTTCAGGTTCTAAACACATACACACACACACACACACACACACATACAACCTCCGCTGAAATTTGGATTAAGATTGTATTGAAATTAAAGATCAATTTGCAGATCATTGAAATCTTAATATTGAGGCAGCTAATCCATGGACACAGTATATTCTTCGACTTTTAATGTTTATCTTAAAGTTTTATAGTTTTCATTCAATATGAGGATTTCCATATCTTTCAGAAGATTTGCTCCTAGATATGTGATATTCTTGATGTTAGTATAATTAGAATGGTTTATTGAATTTATTTTCTAATTATTGAAAGCATAATTATAATTAATTGAATTTTATTTGTTGACTTCATACCTAGTGGTCAGGTTACTTATAGTTTTAAAATCATGAACTGTGTTGAATTTTAATAAATGGTTTTATATGCATTTTTAAAGATTCTTGGTTAAATGTGTTGAATTATACTGATTTCTTTTCAAATGTTTAACTTTGCAGTCCTAAAATAATCCCAGTATGGTTATCGTGTATTCTCCTTTTTTATGTATCACTGAGTTTGGTGTGCTAGTTATCTTTTTTTTTTCCTTCCTTCCTTAAAGGATCTTTTTTTCGTAAAGGATATTTCTTGAGAGAAATTGGCCTGTAATGTTCCTACAGAAGTAGAATCAGGTTTCAGTATCTTAGTTATACTGGTCTCATAAGAAATGAGGGGACTGTTTCCTTTTTAACTGTGTTTTAGAAGTTTGTGAAGATTGTTAATGATTCCTTACATGCCTATAAGATTTCACTGGTGAAGCTTTCTTGGGCTGGAGGATTCTAGTGAGAAAGTCTTAAATAATATATTTATTTTTTTAAGAAAAATAAGATCACTTTGATTTTCTATTTATGTATTAGTTTTGTTATGTTTGTCCATATCATCTAATTTTTAAGACTTACTACTATATTGATTATTTGTTGATTCAAGTGACCATTCACTGATGTCTCATTTTTTTTACTTGTCTTGCTAGAGATTTATCAGTTTTATTTTTATTTCAGTGAATTAACTTTCAGCCTTTTGGGTTTTGCCATTACAGATTAGTTTTCTGTTTCATTAATTTCTGCTTTTAAATATTTTCTTTTCTCTTGGGTTTTAACTTGCTATTCTTTTTAATTTATTCAAATAAATACTTAAAACATTCATTTCTAGCCTTTCTTTTTATTTTTTTATTTTTTGGTACTGGGAATTGAACTCAGGATCTTGGGCTTGCCAGGCAGGCGCTTATGCCACTGAGCTTTATCTTCAGCTCTAGCTTTTCTTTTAAGAAATGCATTAAAAGCCAGGCATAGTGGTACAGGTCTGCACAGTATTCTGGAAGGCTGAGGCAGGAGGATTGCAAGTTCTAGCCCAGCTTGGGCAGTTTTGCAAGATACTATATCAAAATACAGATGGATGGATGGGTGGGTGGGTGGATGGATGGATGGATGGATGGATAGATGATAGATAGATAGATAGATAGATAGATAGATAGATAGATGGGATGCAGCTCCATTGAAAGGCCCTGGTTCAATCCCTAGTACCCCCCAGAAAAAGTTTATTTAAAGCTTTAAATTTTATCTTTCCTTTAAGGAGCTTTGATTACAGCTGACACATTCTGATACCTCATATTTTCATTACTGTTTTGCTCAATATGTTGTGTGATTTCTTATCTGGCGTTATATTTTCAATGTGATTTGTTTTGGGTCTATGAGTTTAGAAGTTTCTCAAACCCTCTCGTACCCTGGTATGAGTATCCTTGGCATTTTATTTTATTTTATTCTATTTTATTTTATTTTATTTTATTTTATTTTATTTTATTTTAATTTGAGATAGGTCCTTACTAAGTTACCTAAAATGCCCTCAAACTTGGAATCTTACTGCTTTGGTCCCCCGTAGGTGAGATTGTAAACATTTGGAGGACTTCCTAGTTATATTTCTGTCATTGACTTACAATATCAAAGTAGTCCGAGGTTGTACACTGGGTGATTGCATTCCCTTGAAATTTGCTGTGTACTATAAATATCAGTTAGGCCAAGTTCATTAATCTTCCTTAATTTTTCCACTTTCTTTATGTTTTCTTGACTTGTCATTTCCTGAGAGAGAGTTTGTTTCCTTTTATTTCTTTCAGTTTTGCTGATAAAAAATGCAGACTTTATGTATTATATCTTCCTGGTGATTATTTTCTTGTTATGGAATGCCAATCTGTGTAATACTTTGACCTAAATTTTCCTTAATTTGACATTCATAGAGCTATTCTCACTTTTTATTAATATTTGCACTAAATATCTTACTCCATTGCTTTAGCTTAAACTTTTGATAACCTTATGGTATGTCTACTGTTAAGTGCAATAGTTAGGTTTTGATTTTCAATCCATTTTGAAAATCTGATTATCTTTTAATTGGCATGTATTTAGTCAGTTGACATTTATCTTGCCCATTCTATATTATTTTTCTCTCATTTTCTTTTTCTTGGAGTAATACAGTATTTTAACACCCAAGATTTATTAGTTTTACTTTGCTTACTTTGGTCCCCAGAGATTTATTAGTTTTACTTTGTTTACTTTGGTCCCCAGAGATCGCTGCATGTATTCTTGGTAAATTTGAGTGTTGCCAATTCCCACTTATTCAATTGTACATTTTGTTGGGGTCATTATTGTGATGTGTCTTTAATTCAATGTATGTTTGAAGCCCCCAAAGATATGATTATACTATACCTGTTCATTTAGATTTATCTGTGTATTTCCTCTTGCTTGTTATATTCACATGCTTTTTTACACTCATATGCTTTACTTTGGGATCATTTTCCTTTTCACTTAAAAGCTCTCTTCGGGGCTGGTGATGTACCTCAGTGGCAGAGTGCTGGCATAGTGGTCACAAAGCACTGAGCTCCATACCCAGACAGGCATTTGTATGTTAAAAACTAACTGATGGTTGGCAACCCTTAAATGTATGTGCTGGAAGGTGTTAGTCACTAGACAGACCAGGGCAGGATTCAGGATTAGAGGGCTGGGAATTTCAGTCTCACCTCTCAAGCTCAATGGAAGGGAGAGGGTCAGAAGATTAAACTGATCATCAGTGGCCAGTGATTTAATCAGTCCTGCTTACCTAATGCAGTTTCCTTGAAAGCCCAAAAGGAGAGAGCTTGGAGAACTTCCAGATAGTTGTACACAGGAAGGGACTGGAGGATTGTGTCTTGGGGAGAGAGGAGAAGCTCCATACTCTTTTGTAGTATCTTTGCCATGTGGATGTCCTTTGTTTCAGCACCCTTTGTCAGAAAGGATATTTTCCGTTATTGAATTATGTTAGCAAGCACTTTGGCAAAAAGTATCAGTTGTCTCTAGCAATGTGGATCTACTTGGTGTGCTGCCTACTCTATATTTTTGTGTCTTTAGCCCGGTACTACATTGTCTTGATTGCTGTAGTTTTTACTATATTGAAATTATGCAATGAATGAAGTTTATGTCCTCCCATAGTTTTTAAAAGGTTTATTAAATAGCTTTTGCTTTTTAGAATGAGATTGTTAATTTCTACAAGAGCCTCTTGGCATTATACTATAATTGAGTTTGCATTGAATTTATAGATAAATTTTGGGAATGCTGACATCTTAATGATGTTGAGTCTACTTGATATCCATGAACAAGGTATTTCTCTTTGTTTTTTAAGGTATCATTTAATTTTACTCAATGTCTTAGTTTCAGTGTGTAGGTTTTTTTCATATTTTGTTAACATTATTTCTAAGTATGTGAGTTTTTGACATGGTGTTAAATGACATTAAACATTTTTATATTCAAGTAGTTTCTTGCCAATATGTAGATATAATTGATTTTTTTGTATCTGAATTTATTTCTTGAGGTTCTTATAGTTTATTATTTTTAATTGTTTTGAAATAGTTTTGGTTGTGCATACTTTTTGTGTAAACATTATTTTTTTAGATGAGAAATTATTTTATCACATTTAGAATCAAAATATCCCTTAAAATATTTACATTTTACAGTAAAAATGATAGCAAAACAAAAGATCATGTAACATTTATATTATTTGAGAAAAGATAGTTTCACTTTCTTGCCTTCATACCTTTCATTTTTTTTGTCAAGCTTGTTCTCTAATATAATGTTGAATAAATGTTAAAAGGGTAGATATGCTCACCTTACTCCCGAATTTACAGATTCAGAATTTCACTGTTAAGCATGACACTAATTACAGATATTTGATAGATGTCCTTTATCTGATTGAAGAAATTATGTTCTATTACTAGTTCATTGAGAGTTTTAAATTTTAATCATTAATTAATGCTAAATTTTGTCATAGTTTTTCTGCATCTACTAAAATAATCATATATAGATTTTCTCCCTTATTCACTTAACATGATGGATTACTTTGGCTTTTAAAGAAGATTTTGTATTTCAGCGCAGTTTTAGGCTAACAGCAAAATCGAACAGAAGGTTGTTTAGTGACGTATATCTTGTTTCTCAGATTTTGACAGTTATGCATAATGCTTCTATCAGCATCCATGTGCAGGTTTCTATGTAGATACGTTTTCAGTTTATTTGAATAAATACAAGGAGCATGATTGCTAGATTGTGTATTTAAGTTTTATAAGAAAATGCCAAAGTGTCTGTATCATTTTGCAT